CCCCAAAACCCCAAAACCCCAAAACCCCAAAACCCCGTTTGAATTACCCAAGATTGAATTTACTTAATAATTTAATATCCTTTCTTTGATCTAGATCTATGATTTCTACTTTTCCATTTCTTCCTTCTCTCCATTGGCGTCAGCCTTGATGCATTAGACACACTCCCATCGTCATTTGATGGCTCAATGCTATGGAATCTATTCTTGAAGAAATTCTTCGGTTGTCTCTTTCTTTTGGAGAATGAGGGTCTTCCACTTGAAATGAATCGTCCTGATCTTCTAACTTCTATATCGTTTTGCAACATCTTCTCTTCATTCGGAAGAATGTTCTTGTAAGCCTTCTCCAAGAGGGAGGAATCTGTGATGTCAAGATCAGATTTCCTGAATAAAGAGCGATTGTTACTATCTCTTCTGGAGGTTTCAGGGCCTCGACTACGATTGATTCTGGGGAATCTAGATCCAGGCCCTCCACTTCTAGCAGTCTTGTTTCTGTTACTTGCTTTTCTAGCTCTTGGAATAAAGCTGCTAGCTTTTCTGCCGCGTTTTTGAGAATTATGCTGAGTTGAGTTTTTGTGAAACACTCCTCGATTCGCTCCATAGTTCCCTAAAGGAGTTTTAGATTCCTCAGGGTTGTTAATATCAGGTAGATGGACTCTGAGATAATCATCCTGGTTTTGCAATCTTAGGTCTATTGGCTTGAAGGTCTCCATTGTTGGTGGAAAAATTATTCCCATCCCTTCTGCATCCATACTTGTCATTGGGTTATCAGAGACTGTTTCTGAAACAATTTTAGCAGCTACAGATTTATTCTAATTCTTACGAATCATATTTGGAGGCAATGGCTTGCTTGGTCCATAAAATTCGTTGGTTGTCGATGAATAATCCTTAGAATCAGCCATTTTTCTCGATCTTGAAATTGATGAGCTTATGCTCTATAGTAGAAAAATCAGAAAAATTTCACTAATTCAGATGGAAAAAGTAATACTTACACTATCAACTGGGATGATTCCTGCCCTCGCTTGATTATAAAGTCTTCTGTCATTGACCTTTTTGATGTAGTCAGTCTCAACTCCTGAAGATGTTGAATTTTTCATTAAAGATTCGAGTATTTGTTTACTTTCCTCTTTACCTAGAAAATTACCCCAAATCCTTACTTAAATCATGGGCTACTGAAGTGACTTGAATAGCTTTCTGTTCTACAAATCCGGAAGAATCAGTGTCATATGTATCCTTAGAGTTCATAAGATCCTCGAGTTCCTTCTTTGCTTTGTCAAGTTTTGCTTGGAGTTGCTTTTTCTCTTTTCCTTTGATTTTATTTTGCTCAGCAATCTCATCTGCCTCATTCTTCTTCTCATATATCTCTTTCTTGATTTTCACCAGCTTGAGATGACTAAGAGGTTGAACTAGAGAGCTCTTGTAATCATCCCGATTCAATGGCCTCAATGTGGACCTGCTAGATTCATCTTCTGAGCTTTGAGCATTGATTGCTCCTCGAATAGCTCTCCTTGTCAAAGACACATCCTTCGATAAGCTTTGAGAGTCTGAAACTTCTTTTGATGACTCATCTTCAGAATCTTGGTAGCTATTTTTAATCTTTGGTCTTCCTGATTTGAATTTCTTTCTCACCTCTTTTGCTTCTAAAATTTAGTAGAAAATCTTACTTGTCTGAGGATTGAGTTTTCTAGTTGGAACTCTGAGTCTCATGTTATTAGGCTCATCATCCAAGCTAATATTAGCTTCATCGAGTTGGTTCTGGAATCTAGCCAGAGCCATCTTTGATGTCTTTGGAGAGCAAGGGAAACTTGAAATTATTCTAGGGTCTTTACGCTTGCCTAAATATGAGATAATAATTCTACCTGACTTCTCTATAGTTACAAGATTGATCTCATTCGTTGGAGAAGGGAGCTCACTATATCTGTAATGAGCGAGAGCAGTTCCCAGTTCTTTGTCAGTTCTATTCTCAAACTTGCTTGTGAGAACTATAATGTTGATGAATTAACTACTCAGTCTTATTGAATATTTAGAGTACTGCTTACCTTTGAGTGCAGCTACATGAAGCCTGTTCTTCGCTAGAGGGTTTCCAACTCTATCCAGCTGATCCATCGTCTTTTCATATGCAGATTTTAGCAAGAAGGAATCATATGTATTTATCTTGTTTCCTGAAGCGATCTCAGCACCAAGCATGATTGTCAGAATTAAAGTTAATGTCAAACACTCTATATGATGGAACAGTGATGTTCTAGATAAATCCAGAGCTGCCATGCTGTAGATATTCAGCCCACATATAGGAAGCAGTACCAAGAAAATCATAACCACAGTAAATATGTTCATAACTCTTCAAATCATCTTGTGCCTATGAAGTGACCCTGAGAAAGCCATGAAGTCACAAAACCTACACAAGGCAACTCTGAACATTTGGAAGTTGAAGATGTACATAAATGCATGCACAAATATTTCAGTTTTGGTGAAACTCTGAGAGTATTTAAAGTAAAAAGCATCCTTCTTCTTAATGAAACTTCTGTAATAACTCACACACCAGATGATGTTGATTGAGTAGAGAATTACAATACTGGTCATGAAAATAAGTGCAGTGACTGTGAATTCTTCAGCAAATAAGTAAATATCGACTAAAATCCATAGGAAAGAAAGCACAAAGCAAGTCCAGCCTACTAGTGTTGAGAAGAAAAGTGTATGGCTTCTCATTACTTTTAAAAATATTAACAGTAGAACAAATCATGCCCAGATTATCAGGAACAGGAAAGGAATCAATGATTCTGTCAGGAGTTCACATTTTTGGTTATCGTCAGTATAGAACCTTGGGCAGCTATCCAAACAAGAGAAGCCATAGAGCACCTTATAGGGATCTTTGATACAACTGAGACACTCACTTGCAGAATTCTCACAAGTCAAGCAAGGACTTTTGCATGGTTGGCAAGATTGATCAGAATCTTTAAAATATCCATTAGGACATGAGTTAACTCATGTGCTGTTGAATAAGAACGGATTTGAGGATGAGGAATAACAAGATGTACAGTTTGACAAATCATTTAGACAAGTCAGACAAGGAGAATTTCATAATTTCGTGTAAGTAACACCAGTGCCAACATAATCTATAGAGATATCATTATCATCTTTCGTTTCTATAGTGAAAGACTGGGTAGTAACAGCATTAGGAGGGTTTGTTAACTCTCCTATCTTCAAAGAAATAGTTGAAGCAGGATAAGATGTACTAGCAGCAAATCCATTAGTAATCGTCACTATCCTATTAGCTGGTTCATAGCTACAAGTAAGTGTTGACGCTATATAAGTTATTGATGTTCAAGTCACAGCTGCAGCATTAGTCACATCAATCTCTTCGGGAATCTTCACAAGAACGATTGAATTTTGAGGTAAAGGATTTGTGGGGAGAAAGGTGATTGTATAATTTGTCAAAGCACTCAAATCTGTACTATCAGGCACAGCATTTGCATTAGATATAGTTCCCCTCTCAGAATTAGTGATTGATAATCCTGTAGTTCTCTGACTTATGATATATTCGGTTCCGCCACTATCAAGAAAAGCAATGACCTGGATCGATGTTGTAGATTGCAGTGTAGGAGGATTTTGGATATTTGTGATAAAGAATTCAATCAATGTTCCAGAAGGAATACTTGTAGCTCCATTTGCTGTTGCTACAGTTACTATAATTTCAAATCCATTCACTGTTCAGGTGAGTGTTGTTGCTAAGAAAGTGACTCCTCCTCATCTGCTGTTAGCTGCACTTGGAGTGATCTGATTTGTTGGGAAAATTATTCTAATAAACTCTCCTACACTCATAGCATTTGCTGTTGTTATAGAAAATGAGTAATTTGTGATAGCTCCATTTGCTTCACTAATTGGAACAACACTAATTGATTGGAAATCTGAAGGAACATTAGCTGTCACAGTCTTTCCTGTGGTTAGCACTTTTTGAGAGTATAAATTTTGATCCAAAACCAAGAGCTGAAAAGAGCTGCTTGTCAATACTGATCTAGGGTTCTTAACATCGTCAATTTCAATAGAAAAATCTCTTGATAGAAACCTGCTGTCATTAAAAAGTTGAGTTATTCTCAATTTTTGAGTCTCAACAAAAGCACAAGAAATCGAATTGAGTATTCCAGTATTAATCCTACAAGTATTAGCTGAGTAATCTGTATTTGAAACAACAATCTCTGATGGAAATACCACATCCAGGATAGAATTTGCTAAGACTGAATCAACAGTAAAATTGAAGTCAAATCTATAGGTATTCTCTTTGCCTGTAACAAGTTCACTAGCTGTCACATTCATCTCAGTAAATGTAGAAGGAGTCGCAGTAACCACCATAGTTGTCCCTGAGTAGCTATCTATCACATCTCCTGCGCTTGTCTGAGTCTGAAGAACAAACACAGCAGAGGTTTGGTTGGTGCCATAATTTGTAATTTGATTGATATTAAATGTAACTGCAGACCCTGCCGCTAAATCAGCGAGAAATCCTCCAGAAATCAAAAATTCTCTGTCATTTGTTATGACACAAGAAGCTGCTTGAGTAATATTTGTTGCAACCGAGACTCAGCTTCTAGTCCCATTATTTGTTTTTAAAGTAACTGGAAGAGTTAACTTCAGAAGAGCTCCAGTAGGAATTATACTTTCTGCTGTAAACGAGATTGTATACTCTGTCACTGCATTAACTGTAGTAATCACAGGAGTTGCTGTAGCTGTGGGGATAGAACCTGGTGTGGCTGTAATAGTCACTCCATTATCACATATCTCAATAGATCCTCCACTTGAGTCATAGCTTTGGTAGACAATAGAGTCTGTGGTCTTAGTATTTGAAGGTGTTGTCACAGTGCTAACATTAAATGTTATACTTTGGCCTTCATCCAAATTAGACCCGGCAGCAACTGCATTTGTAACAGTCAGAACTCTTGAGGTAGAATCAAAGGCTGTAGTCATACCAGCGTTTAAATTCCCTATCGCAGTTACTGTAGGCGTAGCACTAACAGTCAAAGTGCTTGGAAAAGTGAGAGTAAACCTTGAGCCACCTGTCAAAGGCATGCCTAAAGTGATCACGAAGTTATAAATTCCTGCAGTATTAATCTTTAAACTCTCTGTTGGCACTGTTACAGCTATATTAGTCGAAGCCAGAGGACTAGGACTAGTTATGGGCAAGGCAATGTTAGTGCCAGTATCTAGCTGATCAGTCGTATCATTCGCTGATGTTGTAATCGTGATCCCTGAATAGGAAGTGGTACTCGGAGGGTTTAAAAACCCAAAAACTTGAAATACAATATTAGTTTGAGAACTTGAGAAATCACCAGTAATCTTTAATGTATCAAATGCCGTGGCTGAGGTCAAATTTTGGGTAAATGCGCAAGTGATCTTTGCTGTAGTAAACCCTGAAACAGTCCCTCATTGAATCTGAGTCCCTGTCAAGATCGAAATCGGATTCGAAGAGGAAGGGTTCCATTTTGGCAAACTAACAGTGATAATTCCATTAGAAGGAATCTGATGACTCTGAGTTATATTTATAGTCAAAGCTGCCTAAATCAGAAATTTAGAAGGGAATTTTACAAAATTTGCATCTTACCTTAATTCCGACTGTTTGATTTCCTGAAGTGAGTTGGGCAGTCAAGGTTCCAGGAATTGCTGTGACAAAGATGTTGTTTCCTCCTGTATCAGTTCTACTATTGCTGGTATCATTAGCTAAAACTGAAAAAGTAGCTGTAAGTCCTGAATAAGTAGGATTTGTGAGATTTTGGACAGTGAATGAGAATTGCCGATTATTTGTTCCATATACGAGCTGGACAGAAAGAATTCTGGATTCTTTGTCTAAACTACAGACTAGTTCATCAAATAGAACACTTGTGATTATACCACTGATAGGAGAACAAACTTTAGCCAAAGTTGATGTGGTTTGAATCGAGAAATCATAATCTGTTGGGAATCCAATCTGAATGACAGCATTACTACCATAGTCTGCAATATCTGAAGTCATCACAAAAGTATAGTTATCCTGTTCTTGGATAATTCGTGAAGCTGGAGTAATAGTTGCTCTAATCACTGCACGTACAAAAGTGTCCTCAAACACAAAACCTATACACCAAATTAGCACAGTTCCACTCTCAACCACAAGCAGTGCCCAACAAGCAAGCCCTATCCCAAACTTACATAAAACTCCTGCTAGCAGGAAGAATAGATTTGCTTTCATTTTAAATTTATTTAAATTCAATTTACCTTGCTTTAAAGGGGTTTTGGGGTTTTGGGGTTTTGGGG